CTCCAGGGCTGGGGACTCCAAACCTCCATGGGCAGCCCTTTCCAGTGCCTGACAGTCCTTTCTGTGAAGAAATTCCTCCTGGAAGATGTTCCATGGGGTTTGAGGGTTCTGCAGAGGAAAGATTGCTGGGAACTGTGAGGGGATGAAGGTGCTCAGGGAAGATGCTTCAAATGCAAATCATGGCAGGAGCATCATGCCCTGCACCAAGGCACAGGGAATAAAGCAAATGAGGTCACATTAAGGACACCATGGTCATATAACAAAGTTATTTCTCACTGGGAACCTTCTGCCCTCTCCTGAGGAGCATCCTACAGGGGAACAGCCCCTCTAAATTCACTGCTTTATTTATGGGGGGCATTTAAGAGGGGATCACGCTCAAGCTACCCCTTCCCAGCCCACAGCTCCCTGTGGCCAGTCAGGCCCTGCTGAAGGAGCCAAGGCTGCAGAAACCCCCTCTGTGCAGAGGTGGGACCCGAACCCCGTCACCTCCCGGAGCCCCATGGGGGGGGACAGCCCTGCCTGTGCCTCAGAGAGCTGTTCCTGCCCTGACAGGGCCCAGGGAAATACAGAGAGCCCAGCAAATTGTTCTGTAAGAAGGGAAATCAAGTTGTGTCCCCTCTCACCTCCCTGCAGCGTGTACCTGCCACCTCATCACCGCCACCTCCCTCCGGCGCGGGGGCCCCGCGAAGGTTCCCTGGTAGCCAGAGAGCCCCATTACATCAAACACTTCTGTTTACTGTAGCCTATAAACAGTGTTCTGAACTCAATATATTTCTGCCTGGAAAATTGTTTTCTCCCTGCCTGTCCCACACTCGAGGTGAGTGTCTGCTCTGCCGCCTGAGTCGGAGGCAAAGTGCAGCACATTAAACCTCCCACCACAGCAAAATCCAGCAGAGCAATTTAAAATCCCTGGGTTTTGCCAGAAGTTTTTGCACCATTATGTCACATCCTATACATCAGAATTTGCTGGGAAAGACTCTTTTTTCTTTTTTCTTTTCTTTTTTCTTTTCAGTGTTCCTGCTCTCCTCTGGAAACAGAAATATCGGCAGGTCGAATGACGGGACGGTTCGAGGGTTTGCAGAGTGTGGAGGGAGAAGCTCAGTCTTTGGACTTACAAAACATATAGTTACCTCAAATAGGAGATTTTAAGGATTGGAAATATAATGAGTATTAATGAGTATGAAGTACAGAGCCTTTGGGATACATCACAGTTAACCCATCTGTCCCACATTCCCCAGTGCTGCCAGAGTTGCCTTTCCCAGGTCACCATAAGCATTTGGGGGGAAGGAGGAGCTGTTATTTCAGTGACCCAAGATGTGCTTTATATCTCTGGGAATTATTGGCAGCCCACCTAAGATTCATTAGTTGTCTCTCTTTAGCCTTGTGAGCTGTTTCAACATGTGTAGGTTTTCTCTCTTTGTGATGTAATGAATCTCCATTTCTCAGAACACACAACAGGGATCTCTCCAGTCAGTCAGTGGCTGGAGAACCAAAGAATCTTGGAACAATTTGGGTTGGAAGAGACCTTAAAGATCATCTCATTCCAATCCCCTGCCATGGGCTGGGACAGTTTCCACCAGACCAGGTGGTGCTCAGACAGCAATTTTCTCTGGAGCTTCTCAGTCACTGACAGAGGAATTCCCTTTGAATTCCCTCCCCGTGCAAAGGGGCCACCCCAGGTGTGGCAGCCACTGTGTGTGGGGCTGTCCTTGGCTCAGGGCTCACCAGGCAGGGACAGGGGCAGTGGGATCATCCCAGCCCTTCATCACCAGCACCTGCCCCGATGAACTGAATAGAATCCACACACCTGACTCCAATTACCTTCATCAATTAGCTCTACAAAGGCGGCTCTGGGGGCTTCCAGAAGGTTCTGTTCTCTCTGAGGGAAGGTTCTGCTGCCTGTGGGCTCCTCGCTGCACTGACCTGCAAACTGGAGGCTCCACGTTCTCTTTGAGGTTTGTGTGTTCTCCAGCTCCTTTGGGGTGATAAACTGGGGGTGGTTCACAGGGATGGGGCAGAGAATCTGAGTTACAGCCCCAAAATCCTGTTCTGAGTCTGTCCTGCACCACTAACCCTGGGCTGCAAAACCTGCCCCCAGCAAAGGCCCAGATGGGTCCAGCAGGAACCTTTGCAGTGTTTGTGGGGTTTCTTACTCTGTTAAAACTCCCGAGTTTTGGAGGATCTGTCTCGCTAGCAAAGACTGGGGTGGGACTGGGGGAAGCTGCAAGGGGATGAGCTGTTTGCTTCAACTTCAATGTTTCTTACAGGTCTGCTGCATCCTGATGTTGTTGGTGTGAGTGCCCAACTCCCCTGTGCCAGCAGAAACCCCTTCTCTGCAGAGAAAGAAGAAAACAGCAGGTAGGAAAAATGTTATTTCTTTGCTATAGAAGGTAAAGGATGGGAAGGCTTGAGAGTGGTAGCAAGTGGAACTAATACAGAAAGTGATTTAGGAAAGCTGAATTACTGTCCTCTGCTCTGGCTGAAATGCTGTTGGTTTGGGTGTGAAATGGTGCATTTTCAGCAGTTCGGGGTCAGAGTTTGGGCAGGCAATGAAGGTGGCAGTGTTGATGTGAAATGCCAGGTGACAATAATTGGTGGCTGTTGCCAGGCTGGTGAGCACAGGTTGGTGTTCTTGGACAGGACATGGGGCTCTGCTGTAGTGCCAGAGCATCCCAGCATTTCACATTAAGGCAGATGAATTGCAGGACACAGTGTTGGTGTTCCTCAGAGTTGGTTGGTTTGAAACTTGTGGCTCCAGGGAGGTGGCTGTGAGATTTTTGTGAGGAGGGGAGAGACTCTGGGGGCTTCCAGACTGAGTAATTCCAGAAGGTCTTGAGGTTTATCTGTGAAGGGCAGGAGTTGTGTGAAGATGAGCAGTGAGGCTCTGGCTGCTCTGAGCTGAGGATGGAGCTGACCTGAGTGTGCCAAGGAGGGCTGAGCCTCTCTCCTCACCTCTTCCCCTGTAGCCTGTGGATAAGCAGGTGAAAGAGATCAATAATTTGATGTTTTGTGTGTAACAAAATGTGAGATTTCTGCTTGATGGTCGCTGGTGCCAACCTTGGAGCTCTTTGTGATGCTGGAGGGCAAATGGCACCTGAGCCCAGGCCCTGGAGCAGAGGGGGAAGGAAAACTGTGTTTGTGCTGTGGGTGAGAACTGTCTGGAACCGTCCTCTTGTGAGAACCCTGTGTTTGAACTGCACATCCATCTGCTTCTGGTAAAGGAACACACAGCTGCTCCTGCCTGCAGTTATTGTTTAATTCATTCATGCTGCTTGCTGGAAACACCATCGTTAAAGTCCTTTTGGGGCACAGTCTGCTTTAAAGAAAACTCTCCATGGAAAAGGCTTTCCTTTAAATTTAGTACAAAAGAAAAACCCAACGAGTTTTATTTATAGATCAGGGCATGAGAGATTTTCAGTTTTCAAGCCAGTGCTCTATCTCTGTTTCTCCCATAAAAACATGTTTAGCATTTTTCTCATCCTACCAGAATAAAATTCTTTTATTGAGATTTTTTTTTTCTTGACAAAATGCAGCCACTTGAGTGACAAAAATATTGGGTTTACCCACTGAATAACTTTGTGAGTTGTGGTTCTGTTCTTGGATGACGTGTCCTGGGTTTTGGTTATTCTTTAATAGATCATCTCTTACTTCTGTGAGCTTGGGACAGTTTATATGACTAAGGGTGTCTGAGTATTTTCCAGATATGTACCGTGGGTATGATAAATTTATTATTTATACAGAAGAATCCAGAATTTCCTCGTGTGATATCAGCATGTATGAACAGTGAGAAAATGTCTGGTGTAACTGTCAGAACTATGACTTTCCAGCAACCTGAGTGATAAGCAAATGAACAGTTTAGTGTGGGTTGGTGTGTGTTTAAGGGTGGGGGGAACCAGCAGTGTCCTGGTGAATGACAACCCTGCCAACACAGCTCCTGATTTCTGCTGGGAAGGGCTTCAGTCCCAGCAGGGAAGGTCTCTGGTGGTGGGAGTGTGGCTGCCAGAGCAGCTCCTGGATGATCAGACAGGGCTTTCCTTAACATATTTAAATCATTGTATGGATGATCTCACTCCATTATTTTTCAAGAAACTTCTCAGTTCACTCTATTTAACTTTATACTTCAGAGAAATGAAACTATTTCCCCATCTCATTTATACTGGAGGAGCAAAACTGCAGCTGAGTGGCAGTGGAGCAACTCCTGATGTATCTGTTTGAGGGCACTGAGAGAGTCTGGGGTGAAACCATGGGGAGGTGTCTGTCAGGAACCGGTGCTGCTGTGCTCTGAGGGGGGTGTTGAGAGTCACCCAGGGTTTTTGGGGCTGGTGGCAGTGTGTGTGCATGAGCTCTGTCTGAGAACTCCCTGTGTGAGCCCAGGGCTCAGAGCCAGAGCATCTGCTGGGTTGGGTTGGTGTGAGGTGTCTGAGCCCTCTGCTCTTCACTGCAGTTTGGCAAATTCAAAAGTGACTTGTTCTCAGAGCAGGAGCTCTTCCCAATCATCCTGCCCAGCTTTGTTGTGGCTCTGAGGATGTGAGTAACCTGCTTGTACCTGTAGTACACTTTGCTCCTCTGTTCTTTCTCCAGTGAGTCTGGAAGCTGCTCTTCCAGCAATGAGTGGGCACCTTGAGCACAGTGAATGAATGGGACGCAATGCTGAGGGGAAGGCCTGACAAAATGAGATGTCCTTTCCTGTCAAATGGACTCAAGTCTGCAGCTTGCTGTGCTGCTTTTGTATAAAACACTTCATCCTTTTTTTTGAAATTTTATTTTCTTCTGTTAGCATGGAATCACAGAATGGTTTGGGTTGGGAAGGACCTTAAAGCTCATCCTGCCATGGGCAGAGACACCTTCCACTAGCCCAGGTTGCTCCAAGCCTTGTCCAACTTGGCCTTGGACACTTCCAGGGATGGAGCAGCCACAGCTTCTCTGGGCAACCCATCCCAGTATTGTTCAGCAAGACTTTTGACCCAGTTATCAAAGCAATATTTTATTTTTAAGGCCATTTTCTCACATGAGATGTAAACCAGAGCTTTCATTTTCTGACAGGGAGCAGTGAGTGTGTCTGATGCTTTCCAAACCGTGCCATTCCTTCCCCAAAGGTTCTGCTCTTTCCTCTGGTTCAGCACAAGTCTTCCCAGGAATAAAACCCAGTGGAACATGAGTCACTGTAGGAACAAGCACATGGGCGAGGTGGGCTCCTGGCTTATAAATGGTACAATTGTAGATAGAGAAGTGCAAAGACTGCACTGGTTGGAAAGCTGGCTGGAAAATAGCAGTCATGAGGTAGACAGACATTTATGTTCATAGAAACCATTGACTAGTTTGTATATATTTGCATTTAATTTTCTAACCATGTCTTTGGAGCTTGGATTTTAACTGTTCATTGATTGTCTTATCACGAGCTGCACCTCACTTATTTTCAACAACAAACCTGTGGCGCTCCTGTGGGACTGCCAAGAGCTCTCATGTGGGAAATTCGTGGGCTAAAAAGCCACCAGTAAGGCTGAGAAACGTGATGACCTTGTTTCTAAATGTTTGACATGCCCTCTGTGTGTTAATAGAAGTTATGGGAGGGTCTGTGTGAAACTTGGGGCTTCTGAAGGCAAAGAGCAGAACTCTGAGAGTGTGTCAGGGTTTGTCTCCTCACTGCTCCCATCACAGTGTTCTGAGGTTTCAACCCAAATCTCTTAAATTAATGGGTAGTTCGTTCCTCCACCTGTAAAATAAAACACAGGCAATGTGCATGTGTGACTGGAGAAGGGTTTCTCTCTCAGTTAAAGGTGCTGCTCGTTCCTCTGAGGGGAACAGCACCTCCCTGCAGCAGGGGAATGGAGCTGGGGAGGAAACTTTTCAGTGGCTTCAAGAGTTTTCACCTCCTCCACGGAAACGAAACCAAAACCTTGCACAATTTAACACTCAAATTGTGGGGAGAGGAGAAACGAGATTTAGCAGCAGGACAAACAGCCAGAACACAGGAGCGAGTCCCTGTGACGTGTGAAGGACTCTGTTCCTCCTGGTGCCCTGAGCCGTTCTGTCCTGCACTGAATTGTGTTGTCTTGCGAGAGCCTTTTTGGCTGAACAGTTACTTGTGACTGATGTGATATTGTGGGGGGAGTATATTTGTTCAAACATCAGTTTCCAGTGATTAAAAGCATTCTTCAGAGGAATCCCCACCCCGTTCGAACCCATCACAGCATTTAAGAGGTAGTTAGTGGGACAGCAATACATGAAATGGGGGGACGCGGGGTGATCCAAATGCATGCCTGGAGTAATTCTCTTCAGTTCGTGAGTTCTACCCAAGGAATGAAGTTGACTCATTCTTCCTGGATGCAGTCCACCTCTCATGGAAATCGATGGAATTCTTTCTGTTGCGTTTTAACACATGTTCTTGCAGTTACTTTCTCCAGTAAGTCCTCATTAATTTGTAAATCTACGTGAACTCTCGGTTCCCTGTGGTTAAAAATATTATTTTTTTGGTAGCGATGGCCCAGTCACTCGGAGGGTGCTGTAAATACTTTCCCATCTCTGGTTATGATCTGCAGAGCCGAGGACAGGAGCTCTTTGTGCTCCGGGCACTTACATGATTTCATTGATTCCGCCTTTAAGGGGAGCGGGGAGAGCCGGGGTCCTGCTGGGGGGGTCCCCAGCAAAGGGGCTGCCCCCCTGGGGCTGCCCGGGGGTCCAGGGCTGTGTGTCCCCCCCAGCCCCGGCGGTGCGGCCGCAGCCCGGGGAGCGCGTCCCTCCCGCTGCCCGGAGCGCTGCCCGCTCTCCCGGGAGCGAGGGATGACGGCGACATCACCTCACACCCCATCAGGTTTTTGCCTTCCCCCCCGGCCCGTGAGTTATGCTCTGAACTGCCTTTTTAAAGATTTTTTTTTTTTTTAAAAGCTGCTTTGTATTAAATGAATAAAATATGTTCGTGTCCCGTCGGGTCCCTGTTCGCTTCCATTCCGCCCCTTTGTAAAAAGGAGTTAATCAGAAATGAGTTGCCACTGGCTTTTTGCAGTTTATCGCGTTCCCAAAAGGACTTTTACATCCTTAGCCCACTGGATCATCTTCTTTTAATCCTAAAAAGACAACAGCGGGGGCGCGTGTGTGTGAGGGGGTGTTCGAAGGCAGAGATCATGTCGCCTTGTAAACAGGGTTTGCAAACCCAGTAAGAATTGAGGTTCGCGTTTAGAGATCTTCCTGGTAGCAAAATCTCGCCGTTTTAATTCCTTCTGCTGCAGAAGAGCAGCGTTTATCCAGCACCGAGAGGTTTTTTTCAGGTGTGTTTGGAACAGATAAATATTTCCGGCTTTAGAACTCTGTTAGTGTTTAAAGAAAAAAGGCGTATTCGGGGAACGGTTTGATTCTTTACTTTTCCTGCTTGTTAGAAAAAAGTGTTCTTAATTATGACTTGCTGGGGGGGGGGGATGCTTGGAAAGCTCTTCCAGAAAAGTAATTCTAAACAGTAGAAAAAAAAAAAAAGGAAAAAATGCTCTATGATGTTTTATTTTAATAATCCTTTGCAGGCATGTGAGCCGCGCGCTGAGGGGGGAAAAAACTAAAGAAGTTTCAGGAAAAAGGCACGAACAATACCGCCTTTAAACCCAAATCTGCAAACTTTTGAGAATATGCCCTCGTATTGAATACACCGGATTTCTCTCCCGAGCGAAGGGGAAGGTTTTGTTCGTTTGGACAGTCTTTGAATACTGTTCTAAAACTTCTTTCAAGTGGGAACTGAAGAGAGAAATGTTAAGTTCTGGGAGGAGACAATAAGTTAGCATCTTTGAGCGGGGTCCCTTGCATGCAAATCAGGCTTTTGGCAATTTGGGGAAGTTTAATTGGAAGGTGGAAGCGTGTAAAGATAAGGAAACGGAATCGGTAAGAGCAGCCCCGCTGCTCCCTGGGGGCCCGGGGGGGAGGCCAGGCCGTCGCTCCTCACCTTGCCCGGGGCAGCCCTGGATCCGCCCCGTCGGGCAGCGCCGGGGGCTCTCGCCACTCTCCCCCCGCTCTCGGCGGCAGCTCCCAAAGGTGTCTCCTAAATAAATCCCTCCGTTTAAAGTTGCTGTAATTTTCACCTAATGAATTTTTTCGTTCCTCTCCCCCCCGCCCCCGGGACGTTGTGTCAGGCCAGCCCTGGACGGCGCGTTCGCGGCTCTTGGCTGCGCGCGGCCCCTCCTCGGGATTAGTGGTCGGGCTCCTCATTTCCCATCGCCATAAAAGGTCTTGAACTCAATTAATAGCTAATAATTATCCGGGCAGCTCCGCCCCGGCCGTCCTTAGCCGGGGAAGCGCAAACAAAGCCGGCCCGTAACCGGCGGGGGCTCCGCACCCCGGCCCCGCACCCTCCGCGGCGGGGGCTCCGCACCCCAGTCCGGCGGTGCCCGGGGAAGGCGGAGGGGAAGCGGGACCGCCTCGAGTGTCCCCCCCGTCGGGTTAGGGCAGCACCGCTCTGTGCTTCGGGGACCGATCCCGGGCAGCGGGGGGACAGGGGAGCGAGGGGGTATCTCCCGGGGGATCCCCCGGGGAAGGGAGACACCCCCAGAGCGGGCGGTGTTCGCGGGGAGGGCTCCGATCCGGTCTCTGGCAGGACAGCAAATGGCACTGGGGGGGCTGCGGTTCGCTCACACCCCCTCCACTCTGCCCCCAGAACACTTAATTACAGCCAGTAATGTGCAGCGGGCCTGGCCCCGGGGGCGCGGGGGGTCCCCCCGGCCAAGGGAGCCCCTGTGCCGCGAGAGGATTAATGTACCCCAACCCCGCTGGGTGCTGCAGCTCGATGGAAGCCTTAAATTAGGGGAGTTCTGTTAATTCCGAGGTGAAAGGCGAACGCAGATCGTTTTAGTGCCTTCAGTATATGGTATTTCGGCTGAAAAACGCTTGATCGAAAATTACTTCCCCAATATTTGTTTCCCAGGGTCCCCTCCCGCAGGGAGAGAACCTTCCCCAAAGCCCCGGGCGAAGGAGAACCCCCTACCCTGAGAGACCGGGGACTTTGAGCTCTTTCCATGACAAAACTGCCGAATTACAGCGCCCATCGTTTCCATTTTGCTTTCATTTGGCAAGCGATCTCCGGGCAAAAATATTTTGATCAAACGTCTAAAAAAATTGCTATAACTCCTTAATTTCCCTTCATTCCCAGAGACCGTCACGATTAAATCTGCTGTGTTTACATCCCCGAAACTGTCTGTTCATGGGCTGCCGTTTTGGAGACAACATTGCTCGATCTCTGACGATTGTAATTATAATCCTGTTCAAGTTAGATATTCAAATGTAAATGGTGCTTTTCTTTTTTTTTTTTTAAGACTTATTTTAGGACGTGCATTTTTACCTTCGCCGGGGCCATCAAGGCGCAGCCTCGCGCGGCGGAGTGTAACGAATTCGGAAGAATTCTTAGAGCTGAACATGTTTTTTGAAAAATCTGAAATGGCAATTTACACGGTGTTTTTTTCATGGCCAGAGGAGCCAGCGATTTCTTCTAGAAATAAGAAAAAAAAATAGTCTCATAACCTCATTTTGATGCACAGACGGGTTTCAGTGCAGGGGAATATCAGAGCAGTGAGGTACAGGACAGTGACGTGCAGGCACAGGTTCTGCAGCGATATTAACCTTTCCCCTCTGTATTTCGTCTCTAAGAGGACCAGAAAGAGTGATTTAATTTCTTCTTTCCCCCCCCAACAAAATGCAGCCATTTCTGTCTTTCTCGGTGGTGCTTGTTCCGGCGCTTCTCAAAGGTTTTCGGGTAAAAACCAATGAGTGTGTAAATGGGTCAGTTCAGGAAAGGACCTGGCGGGTGGAGGATGTGACTCTGGCACTGAGCCTCTGTCACCCTCCACCTGCGTGTGGAGCGGGTGTGAGCCCGGGAACGGGGGACCCTCAGCGCGGGGGGGCCGCAGCCACCCTCGGAGAGTTTTAATTTTGTTATTTTTATGTCTTTCGCCTCGCCCCGGCCTCCAGCGGAGCCGCTGCTGGGAACGCAAACCGAGTGTCCCCGGCGGCGGCCCGGGGCGGATGATGCTCGGTGGGGGCTCCCCCCGGACCCCCGGGGCTCCCGCCTGTCCTGAACCGCCCCCTTGCGCCGGCTCCACGCAGGGACCGCGTCCCAAAGGTGTTGGAATTCCCTGGCGGCGGGGGACGAGCGGCACGCTGCTCCACGGCGTGGGTGCGAGGCAGCCCCTCGTCCCCCCGTGGGTGCGCTTCCTCCGCTTATTAAGGGCAGATTAGGAGGGAAAATCCCTGGGGAAGCGTGTGACATTCTTACCGCCTGATCTGCGCGGGGCTCGCTGACCCCGCGGAGCGCAGCCCCGTCCTGTGCCACCGGGCTCTTGCGTAGTTGAAAATATTAATTCTTGATTTAATCCCGCCGCAGCCGTGCGCGGGAACAAAGAGTGATTTATGCGAAAATCCTTGGGAAGGGGTTACTCGGGGTGTGCGGCAGCTCCCGGACAAGCCGGACTAGCGCAACCATTCTAATCTTCTTTACTGCTTAAGAAACACTTGTGCAAAACAGCTCACAAAGCGCCTTTCGCCTCTCCCGTGCCCCGCTGCCCGTGGGTGCCCACCCGAGCCCGGCGCTCCCGGGAGGGCCCCGAAGGGAGCCGAGCCGGGCGGCTGCCACGCAGCGCTTCACCTGGAGAGTGTGTTCCAAGCCGGCCTTGTAAAGTACCTGGGAACACACGGCTTGTAGTGCTGATGCCAGGGAACCCACCCATAAATTCCCACCGCTCCAACGCCCCCTCCCCAGAGCTGCGGGGACCGCGGAATGAAATGTCCATTAGCGGGGAGAGGAGCGGGATGGAAGCACAAAGAGGGGCGAGGGCGGGGGGGATAAACTCTGAACAGGCGCGTTTTGGTACCGCTCGCTCGCTTGTGTCCCCAGACCCCCATCCTCACCCGGGCCGTGCCACCCTTGGGGCACTGCGGGTCCCTGTCCCCTGCCACGCGTGTGGTGCAGTGGGGCATGTCTGCTGCTTTCCCTGGAAGAGACAGTTATTAAGGCTCGGTGGAAATTCGGCCACCTCAGAGGGAATCGTTTTTCCCTTCAGCCACCCCCGGGGTGCCCCAGGCCCGCCGTGGGCAGAGTTCCTCGGGCAGTGGCGGAGCACGCGTGTCTCCAGGCCGGGCAGGGCCCCGGCTCCTTGGCAGCCACCCGGCCTGACCCGGGAGAGCCGAGAAGCTTCCTGGCGCTTCTCCCTCCCTCCCCGCTAATTAGTTTGCTGTTCCCCGTGGAAGCGACACGCACTCAAACAGGTGCAGGCTGGAAAAGCCGGTGGCCGCCCCGGGATGCTCACCCGGTGGGATGGGGGAGCTTCGGGGATTCCGGGGGGCTGTGAGGCTCTCCCTGCCCGGGCCGCACCCCTCGCTCCGGGGGTGTGCTGAACCCCAGGAGCCCCTCTCCTTCCACGGGGGTCTCGGTGCCGGGATGCAGGGAGGAATGACCCTCGGTGGGCACAGGAGCGTGTCCCGAGGACACGCCGTCCCCGGAACGCCCCGGCCCCTGCCCTCGCCACCGGCCCTGCAGCCTCTCGAGCTGTTTTGGCTTAAAGCGAGCAGGGGAAACGAGGCCCGTTCCCGGGGGCTGAACCGCAATCACCGGCCTGTGCCTGGTGCGGGAAGGGACCCCACTCGTGGGGGGGGTGGCAGCGTGTCCTCTCCCCCACGCCCCGCAGCCCACTGCCGGCACACCCCGGCACCGGGCCTTCAGAATTCGTTCTCTAATTTTTTTCCCACGCATTTTTATTTTAGGGCTTTTTCCCCCCCCTCCGTTTTCCCCCTTTTCCGGCCCGGCGAAGCGCCGCTCAGCCCGGCCCCACTCGGTGCCCGCCGGTGGCCGCGGGAGCCCCGCTCCAGCCCGGCGGGAACGGCCGCAGCGGCTCGGACAGACCCGGCGGGGCCGCTTCTCGGTGGCTTCGTTGGCAGAAGCATCACCAAAACCACGGTCGAACCCCCCCACACCCCTCGTGCGCCCCCGAAAGCGTTTTGCGTCTCCCTAAATATCTGCGAGCGGGTCCGCTGGAGCTTGGCCATTTACCGCAGGAGCCGATTCCCGGGGGAATCGGAATGCTGGGGATGCAGGAGGGTTTGGCAAGAAAACAAAAGCAGGGGTTGTGCCGGGCCGGGGCTGCGGGGGGGGCACGGCCGCGGTCCCGGCCCGGTGCTGCGGGCCCTCCGTGCCCTTCGTCCCCCGGCTCGGGGAAGGGGACGCGGCGACCGGGACATTCTCCCCTCGCCAGCCGTGGGTCTCCCGGCTTTACTCGGTCTTCTGCCAGAAGACCGCTGTAATAACAGGGACAAATAACCCGGGACGACGTTTTCAGGCTGAAATCCGTCCGTCCCGGGAGCAGCTCGGTGGGGGACGCGGGGACAGTGAGCGTCCAGGAGCGCTGGAAGAAATATTGCAATGAGTTGGGAACATTCGAGCTCCTGTTTCACCGGTGAGGCTGGGAAGAGCTTGTTTTTCCAACCTCGGGGTGCCCGCCGCGCCGTGGAACGGCGTCCTCGAGGCAGGAATTCACAGGCACCGCTTCGGCATTTTAGGCGACACGTGGCTCCAAGTTCCCTTCAAACGGATTTATTTTATTTGGCCTCCTGCTCCCCCACCCTGCCCTCGAACGCGGCTCCTCGGTAGCATCTGAAAGGCCCCCGCTCCCATTTGCAATTAAAGAGTTTATTGAGGAGGGGAAAACCGGTAATTAGCAGGAATATTCCCCCCTCCCCAGTTCCACCTGCAGGGCAGGAGTGCAGCTGGCGGAATGGCTTCCAGCAGGGACCTGACGCACCCGCACAAGTTTTGCTTTGTTTTTGCGGTGCCCTTCGGTGCCAGGGCTCCCGGGTCTCCCCGGGACGGGTCCGCATCTCCAGCGGGGACGCCGCGCTCCCCTCGCCCCAATATTTTATGGAATGTTTAGGAAGGCGCGCGTTTCTCCCTCTCTCCATATTAATCTCATTAAATCCTACCTTTCAACCTTCTTCCGTGACCATCTGACCTGGCCACTTGAATTAAAATAGTGCTTTCTCCGCAGTCAAAGCCAGCACATCAATCACCGGCTATTTACACTTCGCTCCTCTCTTCAAAGCGGCTCTGCCCGGGCTCTCGCTACCTCCGCTCCGGGGGGGTGGGCAGGTCCTGCGGGGCTCCCCGACGCTCCGGGGGTGTCTGTCCTTCCTCTCCCCCCTTTCCTCGGGTGTCTCCCGGCTTCCCCCGTCCCTGGGGAGCGCTGCCCCGGCGCGCTGCTTTCCTTCCACCTGGAAGGCGGAGGGGAGCGGCCGCCCTCCCTCCCCGTCCCCTCCCGACGGGGTGCGGGGCCCGGGGCCCTCCTGACGTGGGGGCCGCGGCCCGGGTCGAAACACCCGCAAACACCGACAAACCCGAGCGGGGGAGAAGGGGAGAAGCCGCCGAGCGCCGAAACATTCTGGTAGAAACACGAGAAATACCGACAAAACACAACAGCGCAAATTCTGTTATTTTAAAAGTTGTTTTTCTTAAAGTTAGGCGAAATCCCCCCCCGAGCCAAAGGGGGCGAGAAAAGAGAAGAGGGTTAAAAAAAAGAAAAAAAAAGGGAAGAAAATAAAGACAGATGCTGGTTGAAAACTTTACGTAAAAAAATATTTTTCAGACTAAAAACAAAAGCATGTCTAAACTACGACTGCAAGATGACATCTGTTAAACTCTCTTCAGCTTTGCTATTTAGTAGTAGTAATAATAGTAGTAGTAATAATAATATAATGATAATCACCTCTTTATAGGATGGCACCTTGATCCTTAAATATTGTCCAGTGTGTAAGGTCAGTGTGCGGAGGGTGAGGAGCGGAGAGGGCTGATTTTTCTTAAAGGGGCAGATCAGGGGAAGGCTGTGATGGGTGCTGGGAGAGAGGAGGGGGCAGAGATAAGTGGTCTGAGGAAGAGGATAGGACAGGAAAAAAAAAAAAAAGGCAAAGAAAAAAAAAGCCCAAACCAGGCTGATGATGATGAATACATTGGAAAGTTTTTTTGGCCCTGGTGAGGGTGTCAGATTGAATGGTCTGTGCGCATGTGCGAAGGTGTCCAAACTGACAATGCTGGGGAGATGAAGATAGTGTGTAGCTGCTTCTGGGCTCAAGGAGGAGGA